CCCTTCCCTTCCCTTCCCTTCCCTTCCCTTCCCTTCCCTTCCCTTCCCTTCCCAGAATCACAGAATTACTAGGGTTGGAAGGGACCATTTTGAGTGGAACTTCTTGTGTTTTACTTTTTTGACTCCTTGTCCTGTTCATCTATCCTGTCATCATAGGAATGTTTTTATTGTTGTTTTCTGTGTATTGTATTATCTTTTGGCTTCTTATATATAAGGTATTTTAAAATTCAGAAATCTCAGCTCTTTGAGGCTTTCAGCTAATTCTTGAGATGGCATGATATGTCAAATGCTGATTTGATAAGATGCAGAAGTAATATTCCTTTAGCTTTTATACAAGTTTTTTTGATAAAAAAATCTTCAAGATTTATGTTTTGTGGTAGCCACAACATCACCTGTCATTTTACCCACGCAATGACTGAATACCTCTACAAGAGTCAAAGTTATTTCCTCTCAATCTCCTAGTATTCAGTAGCTACTAGACATTATTTGCATATGTGAATAAAATAATTGTTTCTGACAGCCTTGTAAACATTTTTCTTTGGCTGTACCTCTTTTCACACTTAGAATAGAAAATTGACTTCATTGTTAAGTGAAAAACAGAAGCATTTAAAGGCCATATCTACATCAAATATGTAACATACAACAAAAGACCAATTACACAAAATCACAGAATGGATGGGGATGGAAGGGACCAGAGTGGGTCATCTGGTTCAATTTCCCTGATCAAGTAGCGTCATCCTAGAGCACATGGCACAGGTGGTATCCAGATTCGTTCTTGAATATCTCCAGTTAGGGAGATATTCACAACATCTCTGGGTGATCTGTTTCAGTGCTCAGTCACCTGCACAGTAAAGAAATTCTTCCTTGTGCCCAGGTAGAACTTCCTGGGCATCAGTTTCTGTCCTATGACTCAGCATCTCTAAGAAGAGCCTGGATCCATCAGTCAGTGGAAGAAGAGGCAATGAAACAAGAGGCATAAACTGATGCCCAGGGAGTTCCACCTGGACATGAGGAAGAAGTTCTTTACTGTGCAGGTGACCATGCACCAGAACAGGTTTCCCAGAGAGGTTGTAGATTCTCCCTCACTGCAGATATTCAAGAACTGTTTGGACACAATCCTGTGCCATGTACTCCAGGAAGAATACCAGAAAAACACTTCTTGAAACCTTAAAGGAACTGGTAGTCTGATTGTAATAGTCAGTTATACTTTCTGTTAAGTTGTTACAGTTGTTTTTTTTTGGTTTTTTTTTTTTTTTTTTTTAATTCTGGCTGCCATTCCTTACCACTTGTAGATTTTTTATGTATATAACCTAGTTTTCTTACTCTTCAGTTTTGTGCAGTTCAGGCTCATAACCGGCTGTTTTTATTGAAAATGGTGGTACACAGTGTTTGTTTCTTCCTTGAGGGCATAAACAATTGAGAAATTAATGTTTTGTGATTGTTTCTCCAGACCATGATTCAGAGAACATCCTGTATTACTCTTAGTACTTCTGTGAATTAGATAAAATTAGAGTATTAGAGTTGGCCCTTTAGACTTCAGAATAATTTCTCTAGAAAACTGAATTTTAATGTTTGACATACAGAATGTCTGCTTTCCTACTATTATATATTTCACACCAAAGATGCTTAAGATTTCTGGTAAGCAAAAATCACAAACAGTAACTTCTTGTACCAGGAGTGAGACTTGAGCGTGTATCCCCTAAATTGTCAAAGTTTGACTTTTTCTCTTTTTGAAGAGAGGAACCCTTTGCAGGCATGATCATGCTTTTATCCCAGACAAGTTGAATGATGTAAGATCCAGTCACATTTTCTATTCCTCAGCCAGCTGAGTTAAGTGGCTTTCTGCTCTATGCTTTTATATTTGGGTACATTCTAAAATGTCTAGCTTGTCCTGTGCGTGCTGTAAAGCATGCTTACTTAAACTGGTAAGGAATTCCAGATTCCACTGAAAGAGGTATAGTGGTAAAAGAAAGGTATTCATTGTTGCAGTTTTGTGGATGAGTTGGCTGAGATTTTGAAAGTGAAAAACAGAGTGAGAAAGAATAAATAGAATAAAAAAAAGGAAATGTCAAAATATGAGGAAAGTGCACTAGGCTTAGGACAGAAAGTTGCCCATAGGACTTGGAGTAAGAAAATAATTTGCTAATGACAGACAACCATTGAGGGCTGTAAGAAACAAGGTGGTAGGTAAGATTAGTGGCTAAACTCTTGTGGTACTTTCAGGAGATGCTTGCTTGTCTCATTCTTGGTCACCTCATTCTTCAGTGACCAGTGAGCTTCATGTTTGAGCAGTGCACTGGGTTTGCATGCCCAGGTTTTAGTGGCAGGCAGGTGGGAAGGATGTCTTTTGTGGGAAGCTGCCAGAAGCTTCCTCCATGTCCCACAGAGACAATGGCAGGAGGTTTCAGGATGGAGTGACAGTGGTAGGATGGTGGGTCCATAAGTGACAGTGGTAGGGCTTCTGGGATAACACATTTCAGAAAAGGGGCAGAAAAATTGCTATAGGACAGCAGCCAGAAAAGATGAGCGAGAATACATGAGGTAAACAACTCTGCAGACACCAAGGTCAGTGAGAAGGCACTGGAGCTGAGGTTCCTCTGAAGCCTGTGGTGCAGACCATGGTGAGGCAGCTGTACCCCTATGGCCCATGGAGGAGCACAGGGAAGCAGAGATCCACCTGCAGCCCATGGAGAACATGTTGGAGCATGCAGATGCCTGAAGGGAGGCTGTGACTCTGAGAGGCCTGTGCTGGAGAAGATTTCCTGGTAGGACCTGTGACCCCATGGAGGATCCACACAGGAGCTGGCTGTGCCTGAGGGACAAGACCCACACTGGAGCAGTTCATGAGGGACTGCAGCCCATGGGAAGGCTTCATGTTAAAGAATTTAATAGAGAGCTGTCTGCAGTGGGTGGGTGGGACTCCATGCTGGGGAAGAGAGCAGTGTGAGGCCAAAGGAGCAGCAGTGATGTGTAATTAATGTAACCCCCATTCTTCATTCAGGAGTAAATTTGGGCCTGGGAAGAATGGATTGATGGGGAGAAAATGGTTTTAAGATTTAGTTTTTATTTTTCATACTCCTACTGTGATTTGATTGGTAATAAAACTAAGCTGAATTCAGCAAGTTGAATCTATTTTGCCCATAATGGTATATTGGTGAGTAGTCTTTTCCTGTCCCTGTTTCAACCCATGGACCTTTCCTGATATTTTCTCTGTTTTGTCTAACTCAGGAAGAGAGGGGCAGGCACCTGGCATTCAGCCAGGGTCAACTCATTACAATCAGTCAAACCTCAGCTGCATTACAGGACTTGAGTTTTAGTGAGAGGTTTTCTAGAAGTACTTGTCAAGGAATGTCTTTTTTGTACAGCTAGAAAGAAAATATTCCGGTCTGAGGTAATAGAGACACATACACTAAACTTTACAATAGCTTTTTCAAAACTAGTTGAAATACAACTAGAATGAATTGTACTAACATCACCTCCTGTCACCTCTCTGGTTGATGCAGGCATCATTGTTTTGTCTCAGATGATGATGTTTTCTATCTTTAACTACAGCAGTCTCTCTCAAATCTACAGTGTATGAATACCTCAACAGCAAACATAAAACATTAAACTTATTTCTGCTAGATGTCTAGGAGTTCTGGAATTGATGGTGTGAATTTTTAGGGACAGTTTAATTATCTTTTTTAGTTTAAAAATCCCAAACCAAGTCCAAACTAAACCCCCCCCAAAAAAAGAAATTAAACAAAATGAAACCAAACCAATCACAGGAACAAAAACCCCAACAAAACAAAACCAACAAAAACCTTAACCAAAATGAGTCCACAAGCCACATAAGAGCATAGATAATTATTTCTAACTCTCTCACTCCCCACCGTCCATTCCTTGCTCTTTTTTTTTTTTGCTAAAGGAACAATGTTTTATGCCTGCTTTCAT